CAGTTTGCTGCACCTTTAAGCGCGTTCCCTAACAAGAGGCGGTGATTTACTGAGGTGATAAGCTGTAACTAATACTAGGGTATCATAATAGGTAAATAGATTAACACCGTGCTTCTCTGTATTTTGCTTTCTAGGGAGCCCACTGGCTCATTCGCTCCCAGATGCTTACTGCAGCACTTCGCAGTGCGCCGAGTTAACTCAGTGGGTTACAGGGCTGTAGCTATCGACGGCGGTGTGTGTGCGGCTAATGAAACGCATTAGCGGATCTATCGGGCAGCATTGATTGCTTAGCTTATTTGCCTTTCCCTTTCTGTTCCCTTGCCCAAAAAGGATTATAACGGGCTGTGCCCAGTATTCAGTGCCAGGGCCGTAAGCTGCCCTTCAGGACATGTCGCCGTCGTCTGTCACGTAATTGTTGCTGTGTGAGCGCAAATATGCCGCCAGCCTTTGTCGTCAAGAAGTCAGAAACCACGCAGGCAGCCTGGGCATGACGTGTGGGCCTCCCTCACCTCGAGCCAACGCTGTCTGCCCCCGTGTCTGCCCTTCGCAGGGCCCTGCCGACGTGCCCTCTCTGCCCCCTCCTGAGCTGATGGGTGCTCCCTGCCTTCACCAGCCGCGCCGCCGAGTGTCTGGTGGAGGTCTCTGCTTTGACGCCGTGTGACAGGTTTTCAGCACAAAAGGACCCTAGCAGGAAATGAACAATTCTTGGGGGAGCATTGCCAGTCCTCATAATGGTGCCGCACATCTTGTGATATTTGGCACGTTCCTAAATACCTGGCTCCTGGAGGCGGGGGATTAAATAACGATTGCTTCCTTCCTCTTTGAAGCAAAGCTTAGCTCTGTGGTTGCAGAGAAATGCTTGAAATGTCACTCGAGCTGAAGGGAAAAAAAATCTTCTGCCTTCCGCTCCTCCCTGTCCCCAGGCCCCCAGAGTATAGACTGCAGTGTTCATCTATGGTTTCTCAGTGAAAGTGTTTACAAGTATGGAAGGCATCCAGAGGCTGTAGTGTGGCTGGCTCTGGGTATGTGGGAGGATTTATCAGTGTTATGGGGAGAGGTGGGTCCCGTTCTGCACCGAGGCACTCATGTGCTTTCACTCCTCTTCAGGGAAAGGAGAAACAAAGATGGGGCTGGGTGCGGGAAGCTGAATACCTCGGAATGAGCTCCTTTTTTCTGCTTCCTTAGGAGACCTCGTTGGCTATTTGTGATTGAAATTGCTTTTATTTTTAATCTTTGTTTTTCTCTATTTCACAAGTGCAAAAGCAGAGGCTGCTCATTTCTGTGTTGGTTTCCTAACATAGTCATTGTTAGCAAATCGGTATTGATTTATTCCTACGAAAATACATCAACGTTTGAAGTAAAATGCAATCCCATTAAGAATGATACAGGTCTTCCAAATGGAGAAAAGTAGGTCAAATATTGCACCAATCAACCCAGAGCATGTTCCTTTAAGCAAAATAAATGTGTGAATACACTTAAACTGTCAGCATGTCATTTGATTGCCATTATTATGCGTCTTTTGGCATGAGCTGGCAAAGCCCTCTGCGACTGAACGCTGGTTGAAAATGTCAGCTCTGGTGTGTTAACCGGGCTGTGTTTTACATTTGTATTTTGCACGAGGGGCCAGGGGGTGCACGCTTAAAGAAATCTTGTCCCCCCCCCCCACAACAGTTGACTCCAACTTACGCAGGAGAGTTCCGCTATTGTATGCAAGGGGCATTGTAGCAATGCAGCACAGGAACACGATTTAAATCTGATCATTAAAGTGCCGCAGCGAGAGGCTGTGAGAGACGGTGTGGATGGTCCATCTGCAAAATCTGTGCTCCTGGTTTACAAGGAGGAGGGGTGGAGGGGGGAGAAAAAGCAGCTGCTTGGCTGTGCTATGAGAGGGAGAGACTGACTGTTGGCACCATCTGTAGCTGTCCTTTGTGCTTGCTGCTTTATCTGTTCATTATAGTATGATACTGAATTTCTCGTGCTTTGAGTGTAAATGAGTTGAGATGTGCCCAATACTGTCAGCATAAAAAGCAGTAACTAAGTACGCTAAAGATGAATAGCGTAATCTGTAAATTCATTTTGAGTTTGTTTCATCTGACTTGAATAGCACAGGAAGTGATGTTCTCCAGAAGGCAGCTGTACCAGATGTGGGGGTATATCCTCACCCTGCCAGCCAGCGCCGGTGGAGGTGGATGGGGTAAGGAAGAGGGAGGGCAGCGTGGCATTTCAGGTGAATGGGAGCAGGATCATTCGGAGGGTCCTTGCTCTGGCTGGGGCAGGGGGATGCCCGGGGGCTGCTGTCTCTGGACTCGGCTGCGCACAGCTCCGTCTGCATGCCGTGCACAAACACCGGCGCTGGGAAGAGAGCGATTATTATACATGGTACATGAGTCGAAACGTCCCGGGGGAGGAAAGGTTAAACCTCTCAGTAATGAGTGCTGTGATAGGGATGAGTAAATTCATTGCGTTTTATACCTGCAGTCTCTTAGTTTGTCAAAAACACGAGCCCTCTCCAGATAACTTGTAGAATGTAACTGTCTGGCTTATCTTGAGGACCTCTTTGTTCTTTGGCACTTTACATTTCACCTTTATAAACGCGTCTGTTAGATATTAGTAATAATAATAACTCATTAATATCTTTTCTTATCTCCACCTCGCTGAAGCAGTGCTATCTTGTTGGCATATTCCTTTTCCAGAAGTTTCTCTGCTTTTTTTTCAAAGCAGGTATGGCCTTTGTTTGCGGATTCATGTCCGCAGCCCCATTAGGTTGTTGCTCCTTATCTTTTTTCTCAAGTGCATATACGTGTACAGAAGGAGCAGCTCCCTCCGCATCGGAGCCACGGCTAAGATGGACGGTTTCCATTTGACACTGCAGTAATTACACTCAGCTGTGGCAGTGCTCAGCATGCCCTGTCACCCTGACATGGCTGCGTTTGCCGTTCAGCAGCGCACTTGGTTTGCTCTGCTCAGCACCCGAGCGGCCGGAGCGTGCGTGAAGACGCTCGGCCAGGCAGCGATTTTCATCCGGGCGGCTGGAAAAGGGGGAGGGGGCCTTTGTCACTGCCACATTAGTAATGATATGCCAGGGATAAAAGGTGAGTATAATTTGATCAAATGCTTGTTGACAGATTCCTTGGCTAATAGAGAAGCAGCTTAGACTGACACTCGGTGCTGGAGCATTTCGCACATCTCGGGGGAGCGCTCCCTGTGGGCTGCTGTGTGAGGCTGACAATTTCGGAGTGGCCGTGTTGAGTTACATAAAGGAGCGGTGTCCCCTTTTTGTCATAGCAGTGCTCCAAACTGCTTCCTTAAACACCACTCTTGACCTTCTGCCTGATAAATGCAATGAGTTCACTGCATCTCCTTTGTCCAGACACATGAACGGTCTGGATTGAACTGTTTTTCTTGTGGCCAGTAAACTTAAGAAATTTCAGTTGTTTCTCAAACTGAAAAATCATATTTGCGGGCATTCTTGGCAAAACACTTTTTTTTTTTTTCTTACAAATACGACTTTACAATTAGTCCCTTGGGAATTTGCTCTACTAAGTATTTGTTGACAGTACCTCTGAGTATCTACTGAGAAAAGAACGGGGTTGCTACCAGTGGTTTGCTACTGCTTGGAATTTTGTTACTAGGCTAAAAGATAACCATCGGAAAAAAAAATAAGAAATGAAAATAAAAGCCTGAATTTGAGATAATTCTTCATTTGTCTCTTAAATCTGCGAGCTTAAAATTACACTGAGAGCTCTCTTCCTTAAACCGCTGTGGCAGTTTGTTTCTGAGGAGCCTTCTGGTTCTCACCTGCTAGCACAATCTGTTGGCTTGTGTTCGGTTTACATCACCCTAGGAAAGCACTTAGTTTAAAAAAAAAAATAAATACAAAGCATTTTATTGTTAGGAAGTTTTTGCAAAGCAGACTTGGAAGAATGAAGAACCCCAAGCACTTCCCCTTGGGGATGTTTCTGCAGCTCCAGAACCAAGTGCAATTTGTCTGCGCCTCGTCTGGTGAAGCCCTTCCCCGCGCCACACCTTGGCGACGTTTTGCCCAAGCCACTGTGGTCCTGGGGCTCCACGGGCAGCCCTGTGGCCCGGGGGTGTTACTGGAGGCTGCTGTGCGCTCGCTGGAGCCAGGCTGCGCTCACAGTTGCTTTCTCAGGCTCTGTTCATTCCAAAGAACATGGGTTTTGTAACAGGGGCTGGTCTTCTCTGACTGAGGGTGCCTAAGGAAAGGCCACATTTTCAGAGATAATGAACCCTTTCATGTCTTCAGAGGGAGTTGCAAGCTTTTAGTCTCTAGGAAATCTCTGCCTATCATCGTTCATAAGCATGATTTTCCTGTAAGCACAGAAGTACCCTTATTGACCAGAAGATTAGTCACATAATGGAAGCAAGCATTTACGGGTTATGCTGGTTCAAATATAGATCTAAGTGCCTAACTTTTGTATACACACATTAGTGTGGCTGTATTCTCATGTTTATCTATTCAGGACTGGTAGCTAGTAGTTTTGGAAATGAATTCCAGCACATGGGTTTCTCTTCATGCCTCTCCAATTAAGCTTTTGCACAAAAATAGCCCAACAGAAAAGAGATCTTGTTATCCTTTGCTCCCCTCTGTGAATGATGTCTTCTGTATGTTTTTGTTACATTTCTGTTAGTGTGAAATGAACTCTTCTACGTTTTTTTTCACTCACAACAGCTACCCCATGTCCTTGTGCCTCATCCATTCTCCATCTCTTTGCTGCTCAGCTCAGACGAGTTCTCTCATGCCTCCTGGGCTGCGCAGAATGTTTGTAACTTGTGTAAAAACATTGTAATGATAGTGTAGGGCAATTACAGACTCAATTTGATAGGATAATAATGTGAGTGGTGGATCGTGGATGAGCTTTTCACTCCTGGGGCTTGTCTGTTCAGATTGTGGCTCTTGTTATAGCAGCTTGTGTCTGCACTCAGCTGTACCGGTTACTCCGCTGTGCACTTACTGTCATTTTGCTCTGTTTGCACAGCGCTGCTTTCGTCGTGGTGTGAGGAGCTGGGACGGCTCTTGCTGCTTCGCCACCAGAAAAGCCGGCAGAACGATCCTCCAGGGAAGCTACCCATGCAACCCCCCATGAACTCTATGAGCTCCATGAAACCCACCCTCTCTCATAGGTGAGTCTCAGCCCAGTCTGTGGGAGTGGAAGCATGCACAGATATACCACGTGGCAGATGTTTTAACTGAAATGCTTGTTACAGAGGTAGCTAAGGTGTTTTGTGCACTGAACAGTGCAGCAGACAACAGGGGATGTATGATTACAGCACGTCCTAAATAAATGCAGTTTTTGTCTTTGCTGTTACCTGGTGCATAGTGGAATGATGCTTCCATCATCAAATCTGTGCTCAGATCAAGTGGGCTTACTTTCAAACTTGAAGCTGTGCCCTAAGGATGAACTTGTACAACATACCTCTCAGCAGACATCTTCCAAATACGGCTGGCTTTTCTTGAGGTTGTTCTGTTTGTACGTTGCGTTAAAAATGCCATGCTAGTTTAAAGCAATTGTGTAGTGGGAGTACCCATAGCTGTGAGAATGTCCTACATCACCTTACATCAGATGAGGACCACAAAGTAGTTAATTCAGAAAAAATGGGAGCACTAAAGGGCACTAGAAGAAACCAAGGATGTGAGCTTTAGATTAACAGTTCACACAGAGAAACAGAAATTGTATTTCTTGCCTTCGGAGCTTAGGTCAAGGCAAAAGCTGAGGAGTAAGTGTAGACAGGGTTAAACATTCACTTTATGTTTTATATTTCAGAGTTTTTTTCAAGGCTTACATTCCCACAGCATCACATTAAAGAAATCACAATAGTATAAATTGTTTTTTGTGTAGGGCACTCCTGTTAGTAAAGAATTATTACAGTGTAGGTGAGGCTAAATCCTTGTACCTAGATCTGTGGCAGCATAATATGTCTTGAACGTCCATGTTAGAATGGAGCTTAGGGATTTGACTCATCTTTGTACTAGTGTATTTGCATGTGTGAAATTGTCTTGAAACCACATCTTTTTCCCCCATATGTTGTATTTATGGGAGAACCATGAGAACTCTATGCCTTTTTATTTTAGTACTTGAGAATAAAGACCTTTTTCTAGAATAACTAATACAATATCGCTGACTTTTTGAAGCATCTGCATTTTCACTTTTTTCAGTTGATTATGTAATGATGGATTGTAAACGTGCTTCAAAACAAAAGTAGAAAAACTTCTGTTGTAAAACAATTTTTTACACTTTGGGAGAAGCTTTGCAGAATCCTGGATGAAATTTAGCAGAGCGGTCAGTCTGCACAAAAACATGTGGTGCAGTATATAAACACTCTGAGGTGTAGTTTTGTAGATTTTAGATGCACAATTTGCACCTGACCTTTTAGCCTGTGTTACCCAGAAGCCCATAAGGTACAGATGAAAGCACTGTCCTACCTCACAGAGGCTGTGTACTGTATTGCTAGATAAGATAGATACAATTCTTTTGTCTTTCATGGCAGTTCTCCCTCAAAATCATGACACATTAGAAAGCGCAAATACTCTTCTCCTGCTAAATGCTCTCTCATTGGCATTTCTGCAATAGCAGCTTACCCAATACTCTAGCTAAGAGTAGAACATCCTGTCTGGTATCAAGCAGTCCCTGTAAGTTTCTCTTGAGTAATGTCCTTGAAATGCTTTACGCAAAATGACGCTGGGAGTTAGCTCTAAATTACTGCTGTTTACCTATGAGATATCCCTCTAGAAACATTATTTCCGTGGTACAACTTCTTATCTATAATAGCTGCAGCAGCATCTTAGGGATTTGAAATACCTGCCAGCCGTGGAGCATCGCTGCTTCCATGTGTACTGTTCTCTCATCTGTAATTTAGCCGTAACTACGACTGCTCGAAGTATCTCAGGTGGTACATTACAATGAGACATCTTGTGGCTCTCCAACTTCTTTTTCCAGCTGGAAGTGTTTATTTTCATGGACGTTTTATGATGGGTCTATCAGACAGTAGTGAACTATGAGGTAGGGAAGAACTGAGTTTTCTGTTTGCTAAACAGAAGATGAAAAGCACTTAAATATAACCCCAGTGATAAAGCTGTTGGTGAGGCAACATTGGTATATTTTTATTAGATCACATTTGGGTTAAAAGCGTAGTATTAAAGTTCACGGTATGTTATCTCTAATTCACAAGGGTTTTGTGTAAATTAGGAAAAAAAAAAAAAGAAAAAAGAAAGTTTTGCGTTTCCTAGAAGAAACTAATATAGCTAGCTATTTCAAGTTTTGTAGAAGAATTTGATAGCAAGTTAGAGCAACCAAGAGCATATTCAAGAACTTAGCGTAGCTCAACAAAGAGAATATAGGATATATGACAACTGCTGAACATCACTAGACAGAAAAGAAACTTCCCCTGTCATCAGACTGTCTGGAGTACCTAATGCAGGACTTTCTCTGACATTGCTTTTACTAGCAACAGAATTACCCAGAACTCCAGTCAGATGCTATAGATTGTCATTGCATGTTACATTGCATACTACAGAATTACAGCTGCATAGTAGTGAAGCTTAAAGAGGTCTTGGCTATTTAAAGTAAATCCTGACTCAATAATGTATCATAAGAGTTGAAATCTAAGGATTTGTATTTAAGAAACTGGGGGCACATACATTGGAAGGAGTTCAGGTTTGGCCTAGTTTTAGGGTAACCTTTTATTTTGAAAAAGTGAATGGAGGAGTGGGAGAAAACTGAGGTAGACAGGTCAAGGAGGGCTTTGGTAGCAATGTTATTGGTCAAATGGACACTTAGTGAGAGCAGAATGTAAGCCATGTAAGGATTTGCACATGTGCAAAAAATGCTTTCAAAGTAAAGACTGCCTTGTGCTAATTTATTTTTAAATTTAGCCTTTCATTAACAGAGTGATTGAGTGTTAAATAAGTACGCAAGTTGCATATAGAACAAAAATTCAATGAAATACCTACTTTATAATGCCAGATGGTTGGTTAGACTGCAAACTCATGCGCTTTATAAACAGAGTGAACGCTGGATTCTCAAAAAAAAAAAAAAATATCTATGTAATGCAATAATTTTGAGCTCAAAATCGAGCATGAGATGCACTCATTTTTTTAGACTTCTTTACTGATTCACATGGGTAAACTTTACATGTGTACTGAGGGACCAGTGTGAGACCTACCCACCTCTTTAATCCTGTGTAACTTCCAATTTAAATCCTTCTTAAAGGATTTGTGGGGGACTTAAGGAGAGCCTGTAGTCTTTGGGCTGGCCGTTTGCACAGGAGTGAAATTTCATGCTTAACGTAACTTCTTTGTATTGCAGTTTTCTATTCTGACATAATGTCGATAACAATAGACAAATACTACTCCAAGTGGCTGATTTTTACTTTTAAAGGCGCTTTAAGATTTTTGGCAAATGCTGCTACTGCTTTGATGAAGTTCCTGCTTATCACTTTATTACATTAAGTGGTGGACCTCGGTAGATGTGGATCAAATTGAATCTTGGTTAAAATGGGCATGGTTTCCACCGTACTCAGTGGAAATTGCACCCTACTTTGTCAATGAGAACACCTGAAGATGTGCAGCTGTTAATTGCAGCCTGCTGTGTTGTCATGAGTGTTCTCTGGGTTCTTACTGTCATCTTTCTCATTTCAAATATTGTTCTTCTGTATTAATAAGCAGCTGTCCTGCAGTTAGTGACCAAATGTCTAGTGTAATGTCTGCATAGGGAAGTCAAGATTGATGAAAAATACAAAGATCAAGTTATTTTTAATACAAATTACTTAGTGCCAGAGGTTTTGATGAAATTAAACAGTAGATCAAATTAAGTAGTAATTCAATATTACAGTAGGTACTTTATTATCATTATTGTTTTATGTTCAGGCAATTGCCATAAATACCTTTTATTGGTAAGACTTGCTTTACAAGGGTGCTTATTTTAGTGTTTGTTTTGGCACTTGATCTTCCAACTTAACTAACACCTGAACTTGCATTGGTAGGAGCAGCATTCTCTCTTGGAAGAGAATGACGATTGGGTCTGATTTTGTACTTTATGGTTAGGACCACCCCTGACATGGGCTGCTAAGAATCAAGGGTGATCCAGCAATAAGGGACCAGCAGCAACATTGTCAAAGTTTCTGCAAAGGTTATAGCCTTTTCAATTTTGCCGTGGTAGGCACTTTCGGCTGATAGTGATAGTCACTTGAAAAATGTCTAGATGAGGGAAACGGTTCAAGTGATAGCTCTGGTGTGGGGTGTATAGTCTTATGGAAACACGTATGTTATGCATCTTCCATACGTCAGTTTCAAGTTGGGGATCACTTCATTATTGCATGTGGCTGGGGTATAGAGCAACAATCTTTGAAAAAAATCAAAAGTTCAGGTGAAAGATAAGATTGTTTTAGTCATTTCATCTATTTATTTATGAAATAGTGAAATAAATATTATTAGGGAGTGAACAGATGGCAAATCCAAATGTAAGAGAATATAGTTGGTAAAGTATACTCGGTTCAAGTAACTCTCCCAATTCTGTAAGAGCAGTCTCTCTTTTTTTTAAAAAAAAAAAAAAAAAATCTTCTAAACCAAAAAATGTTAAAATCCACCATCAGGAGAAAACAAGAGGAAAGTTCAGAATTTATAAATGTTTCTGCAGAAGTGACATTACTTAAAGGGAAAAAAAAAAAAAAAAAAGACAAAATTTGTTAAAAGCAGTTTTAAGTAAGACCCCTGATGCTCTGAGCACTGCTTGGAAATACTGTCCCAAGACTGTTTGCCCGTCTTGTCCCCTGAGAGCACTAACATTAGATTTAGCATACTCTTATTCTGGGGAGGAACAGGAAGAAAGCCTTGAATGGTGGAACTAAAAGCAATGATTAGTGCTCTCTACTTGAAAACTGAACGTGTGTGACCATAAGCTGTTAATAATTAAACCTTTAATATTTTCATGTGAAAAATCTGCATTTCATTTTAGGTGAGATTATTTTGCGGTCAGTTCTTGTGGTAAAAGGAGAGACTGATAGATATGAGCTCTGAAAAAAGTAATGGGCAGCTTAAATCCTCTTCAAATGTATATTCCTCACATGTCTGGTAAAAAAGGTATAGGGTTTTGTTGTGTGTTTATTGTTTACAGCACCTTGCACAG